GCCCCGCGTCCCCCCGCTGCCGCCTGACCGCCGGGAGGTGCCTGTCCTGTTCTCGGCCCAGCCCCAGCAACCTCAGCTGCCTCGCGTCTTTGTCCTGCACGTCCAGGACAGCTCCTGCTTCATTCACACTTGCCAGGATGCTCCAAAAAAGGTCTTCTGGGGTGCATGAACGGGTGTTGTATTTTCATTGGATCATTTTGTGTTGGCGCGGGATTCACGGACGTCGCTGACGATCAATATGATCAAGCAAATGCCACTTTATTAGCTTACAACTGCGGTTAATAAAGACTTCATAGCTTCCTTAATTCCTACGTGCTCTATGCTAATTGGCTATAAGCAAGCAGACACACATATTTATACTTCTTAGCAAGAAGCTCTATTTGTGGATTACAAACAAGAGATCAGACTCTGCAGCCAGGGTTGTTACCAGCTCATGTGCTCCTCCAATCACGCTCTTATCACACAGGGAGAACAGACGTTCCCAGGTCTACTTTGATCACACTCTCCCATTCACTCCCAGGCACATCTTGTGTACGAGAAGCCTCTTATCTGTCCATTCACTCCCAACATGAGCTGTACTCGGCTGGTCAGGGTCTCTTTTCATAATTAGCAAGCAAGAGTTCTGTACTTGTTTAGAAAAGAGCTCAAGGACGAAAGTCTTAATTCTGCAATGCAGTGCTGCCAGCACAGCTACTGTAAAATGCATCTGCAATTTTGCACTGAGCCCGATGACTGAGGAGGACCAAGTGCTGATCAGTGTCTTGCGGGACAAGTCGCAGTCCCGTGGGCACACCAGCTCAGGGATCAGGGAGGCTCCATCCCCTGATGTAGAAATTGACTCAACATCATCTTTTTCTTGCCATTTACCCATAAAAAATATGAATCTCACCAAAGCATTCAGAAACCACACCCTCTGGGCTGAGACCCGCGTTGAATGAACAAGAGCCCACAGAACCTGGACACCTTTATTAAAACACACGGAGACGTCACACGCCTGGTGGCAGCGGTGGCCCCACGGGGCTGCAAGGACCTGTCTGGGGCACTCGTCGCCGCGCTCAGCTGATGCTCAGCCGCTCCCGGTTCTCCCACAGCCACGCGTGGTACACGTTCAGCTTGTGGTCCTGCGGCTGGACCTGCAGCACGGCAGGAACGCTCAGTGTCCGCTCCAACACCTCCTCTCACAGCACCCAACGCACCTCCCCTCCCCGCGCCTCGCTGTGCCACCGTTGGGGTCTGCTGAGGCCACGGGACACAGCGCTCGGTCAGCCTGAACCCACCCACCCACCGTGAACTGGGAGGGGGCCCTATGCCAGAGAGCAACACGCCCGTCCCTGACTGCCCCTCAGCCACCCACCACGAGAGTCCCCGGCACGGGAAAGGCCCCGACACTGTTATCAGGGGGGTGCCAGGATCTGGCTGGTAGGAAACACGGGAACTCATCCTTAACCGGAGCAGGGAAGAGGCTCCCACACCCACATCAAGGGAGTAAGGAAAAGAACATGGTGAAAGCAGAGAATTTAAAAAAGAAAAACAAAATCAAGATGACACAAGCCTTCATTCAGAGGTTCAGATCTGTGAAAAGTGTGCCTTGGGAGTTCAACCCACTGAAGATATCAAAATTGCCTATTTTTTTTCCCCCCAAATCCAAGTGGCTCCACAGGTAGAAGCCCAGCGGTGCCGAAGGACACGGCAGCACCCACCTCCTTCCACTCGTCGACACAGAAGATGCGGTAGGAGTCGTTGCCGTACTTGCCGATGCCGTGCAGCTCGATGGGGTAACGCCACGGCTTGCTCAGGTACTCGTCTGCAAGGCACGGCCACAGAGCTCAGACCGACGCGACCCTGCGCAAACGCCCCCGCTCCCTGCCACTGTAACATCTCCACTTCGGGACACTTTTAATGGGAAACATGAGTTTTGGCTGTTTTCTGGCTAAAGTAGGTGATGAATCCCTGCGGTGTACATCTTAAACAGCTTTTAAACAAATGTCTGAGATGAGTTTTAATTACACCCCTCTCCTCAGAACCCACAGAGGAATACTTTTATTCTACGCACAAAAAGTATGAGAATCATAGAAAATGTGATGCCTGACGGAGGTGGCCTGATGCAAAAGAGAGCAGAGCCACCAGCCTACAGTGTTGCTCACACAAAATCAGAGCGGTGGGGGTTCGTAGCTTTTTCAACTCAAAGAAGCCGCTCGGACAAAGGTCTCTGGCGGAACTCATATTATTTCATTCCCAGATAAGACAATAGAATTGGGAGCTTTGCGTTTTTAAGACCAATGTATCCCAAAGGTGCATAAAATAAACCACTTGCCGAACAGAAGGAAAAGGCCCGGAGCACTGTTTGCAAACACCACTGTTTGCCTGCCCAGAGTAATTTAGACCTTTCCACGGACAGACTCAGGAAAACCCACCTGAGAACTTGATGATGGTTTTCGCTCTGAGTTCGTAGAGGCCAAGAGGTTTGAGTAGCTCTGACATTTCTTTCCAGTCTGCAGTCCTGGCTATCTCAGGAGAAGGATACTTCTTAAAGAACTCCCACAGCACAGGAATTGCCACTTTACCTAGGAAAGTGATCTGTGCGTCTAATTCCCTCTTGTGATTATCTACGTATGCTTTCCAAAGTGACCTATTTCAGAGGCAAGAGCTACAAAATAAAGATTTATTTATTTTCACACTGACACAAATGAATATACGTTTATTCAGACCCTGCAAGACCACCCCAGCACTTACACAACATGAACTGTATTACTTTACTTACCTGAAGTTTTATTGAGAAATATGGTTGCAATAAGAAGTTTCCATGGGTCGTGGAAAAGTGTTTCTTGGATCAGATTAAAAGGAGACCGTGGAGGAGTCCATTTTCTGAAGGCTTTCCTTCTAGGTGGGCTGGGACCTGGGCACAGAGGCAAGGCAGAAAATTTTACTGGGAAATACGAGATGGATTTACTTATTTAAATTAAAATAATAAAAAACCCCACCCATGAAGCCCTTCTGAAGCAGACTGATAATGCAGGGATGAGATCCACGCTAGCACAGCTCACTCTGCTCTCTGATGCCACTGAAGCCTGGGCAGCTCAGACTGGAGATTTTCCACAACATCCCTTGATCTTGAGCCATCCTATCCCTCCCCCTCATAAAAAAAAAAAAATTATTTCCCTAAAGAATATTATACCTTCTTTACTGTATTTACTTGAGAAATATGGACTCGTTTTCCTCCTTTCCACTTGTGTTCGGGGGACTGGCTCTTCTGTAAAGAAAAAATACTTCAGCATTAAAAAGAAAAAAACCCGAGTACTTTTCACATTTCATACACCAGTTCCACTTTATGGAAATGAAAGAATTTCTTGCAGAAATACCAAACCTCAGCATGCTTCAGATTCACTCCAGTGCCCTTCTGCACTCCTGCCCTATGAAGATCTCCAGAAGGTAACCCGTTACTTTGCCCCAGCCTGAGGAAACAGGCTCAAACTACAAGCAAAGATTAAATGTTGTCTGCACACTCCAGGACACAAAACAAGCCAAAACTACCTTTTCGTGAATCAAACTGAGCAACCATACAACAACATTAAAAAAGTTAGCGCAGCAAAGGTGATGAACATTCCTATAGAGTACGACACAGCCACAGGGGTGAGCAGAGTAAGTTCCAGTGGCGACTAGGTCTGCACTACGAACTGAGACAGATCCAGGGGTCAAAGCAGCCTGACCCAACAGGGAACACCCTGCTCGTACGCGGTTAGAACCCCGGCAGGAACACGAGGATAACGCCCCGCTCAGAAACCCACACATTTACCTGGTGGCACTTTAACTGCCGTGAAGCTGGTGTTGTCGCGCGGCTGCAAGACTTGAGCATCCGCTCCCGTGTCCGACTGAAAATCCCACTCACCTGGCTCCCCTCGGGCTCTCTCCTTCCCCACTTCCAATCCACTCGTTTTCTCCTCAGACTCTGCAGAGGACGTGTCGTCGGGACCTGTCTCCGCACACCCCTCCTCTGCCAGGCTCTGCAGCCGCCTGCGCCGGCGGGCGGGCCCCGGGCGGGCGGCCTGGCACTGGCCGCATCCGCGTGTCTGACCCGAGCTCTGTGTCTCTCCGTGACCTGGCTGTTCTCAGGAGTGTTTTTCCTGCACCCACGGGGTCTGTGTTCCCAGCACCAATGCCCTGACTCTCAGCAACACACACGTCTCTGCTTCTGCAGAATTTCTTGTTCAGAACGCGCTCAGTTTCCTGTTTGTTACACGCTCTTCTCTGTCGTTTGCTTTGCGTGTTCTCTCGATTCCTCTTTTCGGAGCTCTTTCCAGTTTTCTTATTCTGAACCCTTTTCCCACCCGTCCCCCTTCTTTTGCGTTTCAAACTCTCCTCCAGGTTTATGCCTGTCATGACCAGATCTGGGCTCTCCAGAGTGGACGTGACATCCCCTGGCCGGTCATTTCCCGTGTGGACGGTTCCAGTCCTGTCCTCTGCACCACTCTGCACACCGAGGTCTCGCGCTCGGCTC